ACATTACAAGTAAATTTAAGGTAGCATCACTTGGATACACTGAAATTTCTGACCACACAACTTCTGTGGAATAAAACTTTTCTTTGGTGGGTGTCAATTTGTTTTGCGGTAGGTTGTGAAGGCAGCAACTCGGCAGGAGTTTAAGCAACAGCAATAAAACGGATCGGTCGCGTGCCGCCGGTTTCGGTGAGCGAATGAGGTGGCCTGCCAGGCCGACCACTGTGTCCCCAATGAAAAAAAAACAGGTTAAACCACTGTGCCCGGTCACGTTACCAAAGACTAAGTCAACACCCGCCTATTTAATTCAAGAAAGGATGGTGAAAGTGCCATACGCACTCTAAACTCCGCATCTGGAGATATTGACAACGAAAAACGACGAACCAAGTCTGGAAAATCGATAGTAAAAAGGCAAATAAGTTGAAGCCTGTGAGAAAACGGTCTCTTTTCAATAAGTCGTCATAAGTCGTAATTATGGCTCTTATATTTCACGATAATTTAGCATCAGAAATTACAATAATCTGGTTGTCGAATGTAGTTCACCCAATTCAATGTAAATTGTTTACGTAATTATATGTGAACTTACACTGCAGTATCCAATAGGTCTTTTAAAAGCATAAACTTTATCATTTCTTCTCTGTTTGCCTAATTCAGAGATGACCAGATCCAAAAAGAATTTTTTTTAAAAATTGAAAACGGGCTATTTTAACAGTTATGTAGCGAATATTTTTGTACTGGCATTAATTTGGTTGGAATAATTTTCATTGCTTTATTGTTTTTTATTTTACTTAAAATCACCAACCACTAGCACAAATCTGGGTTATTAAAATATTTTTTGTGTAAAAGGGGCAAAATTTGAAAATTGTAATGAAGATTCAAATCAAATACGCCAATTCGAGGTTAATTTGAAACATAATTTGAACTGCTTAAAAATAAGGAAATAGCAAATTACCTATGTGAAAAAAGAACTTGGAAACTCAAAACAATCCCACTAATTACACACACGTTTGCTTTGCACGTCAGTGTTAAAGTCAGGCATCAATGGAGGGGTTTCACAATAATTAGATCATTCTAAGACCACAATATTGGCCAATAAAATATGACGAAATTGAAATGTGGAATTCAGGAACACATTCTAATAATTTTTGTGGGCCTCATGAAATCATATATATGCCTGTAACAGGTACAAGTGCTTTAAAAAATTAACTTTCAAAGCTATATAAAAACTATTTCAGAACATTTCATGTGCTGCAAGTGTAATAATTGAAATGTGTTTACATAGAAGCAGTAATGTTTAAGTTCGCTTTTTCATACATAGGTTTCTTTACACTAAATGAAACTTACAATTTTAATTTTCGAAAATAAACTTGGATAAACTGTTATGTGAAGCCAAGTTAGTTGAGTAGAACATGATGACTTGGCAAGGAAACCAAGTAAAGTGTGGGAATTTCACATAGTATGGTCAAGACTGAGGACCGAATATGCAGTGTTGACAGGACGCTGCAATGAGTACGCAGAAACCACCACATGCGCATGGCTTTCAGGTGTACCAGAGTAAACATAGCGACTTGAGACTGGAATTACTGCCTTGTCATCCCATGAAGATAAGAAATGATGTTATGTAAATTTTAACTCTTACAACGACCGATTCTCATTTTAAAGTAGCTGAACGCTCAATTTCAAACCAAGCTCTTTGAGTAGTTTATTAGGTACGAATTCAAAGATATATTTACTTGGCATTAACCCTCGTTAATGTCTATCTAGTGACGTTGTGCTAAACACCGGATGCATCCTGTTGTGAATATCGTGTTTGTACGCAGACTTAGGGAAGGGGACATGGTCCAACCTCACCAGCCATTTAAATGTTTATTTCCCCGTTAGTATGAGTGAGTCATCCAAATGTGTGCTAAATGACACACACATTCATGGCGCACAAAAAATTGGTGCAGTTGTCCTTTATTTCCTTGAACTGAAGTAAAGGCATACTTTCTCTTAGCACATTCACATTCGTGTAGGCAAACAGTGCTGCCTATTTTCCTTTTTTCGTGAATGCTAACAGGTAAAGGATAAGTACCGTTAGTTGAGTCACCGATCTGTAGTGAAATGACTTTCCCAAGAAAATCAAACAAACCCCGATAAATTCTGTTTTAAAATCTTGACGACAGACAAATAGTCATCAGCATTGACTTCTATGCTTGTCAACTGGACCAGTGAATTGTGCTATATTCTTCAAAATAATCGTACAATCGAAGTGTGCTCGAAGGACAGAAAAGGTCATGTTGAAATTGTCCGTAGTTGGCTCAAATGTGGCCGTTATAAATGTTTAGCGTTCCAAGGAAGTAGACATGGACTACCGGTGGGTCAGCACGGGATACACTATCCATGCAAACACATGGAGCAAAGCACATGGGATGGGAAGAATTTATTCGGAACACGGTTACAAGATAAACGGTGGAAGAAGAGGGCTAACTGAATTACGGAGTTCGGGAAACTTGAGACGGCCCATACACTAATTGTTGGGCAGGCCAGGCATGAACAGAGTTCGATGTCATGGAGTATGGCGTGCGTGATGCTTAAAACAAAGAAATGATTTAGCCAGAAATAGATAGGCAGTTTGATACAGTCAAAGAACGACGTAACGACAAATTCCGTGCTAAAACTGTACTATATTTCCGGCCAGACACACCTGTACAGGAAATTGAAATATTAATTATAATAAAATTACACTAACTGAAATCCAAATTGCTGCTAAGTGAAATCACTAGACATTTCAATTACCTAATGCAACTAATGCGTTATTAACAGTATTAAATTTTCCAGGAGATCTTATGCAACGGATACATAAGTACACATACGGTTTTCTACAAAGATAAATTTAAGATAATTGGAAAGATTAAGGATACCTTGACTTCTGAATGCAATGAATTTTGGTTTGTTGACTTAAGCTTTGGATTTTCAGGAATGCATAAGAAAAAATATCTGTAGTTCTTAATTTTTAGAGTTTTTAACGAACACCGCCGGTGTAGTTCTCTGCGGATTTTGGTTTTTGCAAAAAATATGATATTAGAAAGGTTAAAATATCACAAAAAATTGTTTAATCCGTTTCAATAATAACTTGAACGGTTATAATGGCACGTTTTTTCTCTGGACTTGATCTTGTTCATTTTGAATAACTCATACCTGCATCACGTTCCTTGCCGAAGTCTATTTTCTTGAGTTGATTTAGACATCATTCTGCACAAATCGGTTTCTCGAGGGTCATAAATATGTGCTTTGTACTAACTTGGCCTGAACAAGAAAAGCATAGGTAGTTATTTTGGTCAAACGTTTGCTTAAGTAAGTACTCGGTCATATTAATATGAAGGGCCCAGAACAACAATAGACTTGTGGCATTCTATTATTGACCCAGAAAAATTATTCATTTATTAAATTTCATAGCTTTTCTAAATGAGGAGATATGTGGTGGTAAGGAGGTAGCTTATTCGGTTCGGAGAGCCCTTCGAAACTATCAAATGTCCAAGGGCCTCAAAGAGCTCAGAGTCATCAAATGCCTTTTTCATTAACTGATATATCCTGGAATAAGTTTTACCGACAAACACAACCCGAACTGGGATTTTACGATAGCCTACAATATTTTTGCATTTCTGACACAAACACCCTCTGGAAAGCCACGACTGATACGCCACACGGAATTCTGTCATATCTTAATTCAATCAATGGAATATGGCTATAATAGTGCAACAGAGATAAAAATCTCATTGCCTCTAAGATTTTGGAAGCAACAATTATAATATTGTCATGCAAAATTCTTGAGCTATCAACAATTTAATTGTTGCATATAATTTTCACCGAAATGAAATGATTGACGAAATTCTGTAGAAATAATCCTATGATGACCTCTAGTACAAATACAGTCTCCTTAAATTTTGATATTTGGAAAATACCTTCGAATAATCATCGTCACAATCTGATTTATTTTTCCTAGATGCAGAATAAAATCTTTGCTTTTTTGAACCTTTATTGGTCAATCGACATGGTAATTCATGCGCTGGGAAAATATAGACAAGTTGAATTTCTGATGAAAGAATATACTGATGTTGATATATCTGAAAAAACTTACCTAAAGAACAGTCACAAAATATGACGGTGCTTTTAACACAGAAAATAATTTAATGGCTTAACTGCTAGTATAATCCATTATATTAGATACTTTAGAGAGTAGATGTCGTGGCAGTTAGAATTTATAAGTATTTATGCAATCAAATTATTCAACACCCAGCGTTAACTTCAGCGTATAATTTTAAGGCTTATACTAAGCTCAAACAACGTCAGCGACCCCGATTTAAGCTACTTACATATTGTTCTTTGATTTCCACAAGGTCTGCTTAATCTGGTGAGATGACAATCAACATAAGAAATGACCAGCACATACTTAATACATATAGCGTGATGATTCCGACCCTTCATCTCAAAACATTTCAAAAAACGATCATGCACAAAATCAGACATCGTAATATCGAGTTTTTTAATTAGGAAATATTAGGCACAAACAAAATATTTATTAAACCAGAATTTATTTGCTTTATTTTCAGTTTTAATTTTACATTATACTTCTGTGTCTGCTAGTGATGTTAAACTGTTTTTAATTCTTTTTTATCCTTGATATTTGTTGTAACGCTTTACTTGGTGTAAATCTGCCTTGATTACCATAGGTCAAATTAAAAGCTCTTTTTTTGTAACCATTTGGTTTTTTGTAGGAAGGCGAACCACGTGAAAAGTGTAGAATATACTCACTTTTCAACAAACCTATTTATAAATATGAAAATACACAACTTTAGGAGAACAGAGGCCTTGGATATTATCCATATCCAAGCTCTGATTGAAAATGATAAAATATTTGCACGAACCAAAATTAATTTGTTTAATTTACTGTACGCATCCGCTGTTTGCATGTAATAAGTCTCTACAGGGAACGGGGACTACTCTCATTAACTGCGGTAGGACCTTCTGGAGATGTGGTGGGATGCATGGTTCTGAGTGACGTTCCCCCAATTTCGCTCATCAATGGGCAGTATGGGAATGAGTGGCTAAGGTCTACGTTTAAATTTGGTGGCCTCAACACATGCAACACTCTGTTTATTCAGCTTCTTGTTGTTGAGGACAGGTTTAAAAAACGCGGATTCTTCGACTTTATCCGTGTAGCTTTTCGAACAATAGTCGAGGCAAACCATTTCCTATTCATTGTTCCCGAAACTATAAATTACGGTACAAACTTGCCTTAGCCACTTACATCTTAGATGATTTTGATGAAACCTTGGCCGACAATACTCTTCGAATGAGATTTAAGCAATACCGAGCTCGAGAAACAAAGCCAATAATTTCGAAGCTCCCATTTGTTTCTGGTGAAAGTGAATTCAAATGGGAGGTTTTCCACTTTACTCGACAGGAATTTGACCCGGCCTTGTGCCCCCGAATAGCCAAGTGAGTGCAATTTATATTGTCTAATACCAAAAGAGTTAAGGACAATGATGATTTAACGCTGATCTTCAATGCTAAATCAGATGTGCTACAGAAAATCTATGGAGAGTTTTACATTGCTGAGTTGGTTGAAGCTCAAAACGACAACATGAAGGCAGTGTCCCTTGAGTCAGAAAACTCTAGCTATGCTGTTGGATTTATGAATGCGACGACTTTATATGACGCCGAGTTCATGAATTCAGAGTATGATTTGCAGCCTTTTAATTACTTGATGAAACACCGTGACCCTGATACGTCCGTTTCATCAAAGTCAATGCAGTATTTAAATGCACAGGCGGATACGTCTGCTATCGATGCTGATTCATCAGAAACTGAAATGAAAAGCACAGCTGATGTAATAGAAAGTGTGCAGAAATCCGATACAGAGAGTGTGCTTAAGGCTTTTTGCGAGGAAATAGGCCAATTTTTAGGTAAATGAGAATTTATTAAGATATGCGTCCGCGATTCCTTTTTAAAATCCAGTCTGAGTAAAATCATCTAAATCTTTCCCCATAAATCTAACTTAACAGGATCATGTTTTACTGCTTGTTTTAGAGCATAATCCTTCTAAAGCTCTCTCAACCGATGATCTACGATCAGCTCTTCTTTCAGACGCATTTTCTCTGGATAGAGACACAAGACTGGTGTATGTTACCTCGGGTAATTGGGTCAGGCGTCATTTGAAAAGGGACTTGGGACTCCTTGCGTCAGACAAGAGTCCCGCTAAAGTTTATTCTCAAGACGATCATAATGCATTTATTATACAGCTTTATGGTATTCTGCCAGAATTTGAAAATCGGTACGTTTAAGAAACTCCCTCTTGCGTTATCAGAACACCATTATTTTAATTTATCATTATCCTTATAGATCCTTTTTATAACTAAAATAAGGTCACATATGCCCTTCTTTGGCCTTAATAGATTTAAGGTTCAATATTTGCGTCTACGGTCTCTATCGTTTTGTTTCAGTGCTAAAGACTTCTTGCCATTCATGTTTAATCAGTTTCCTAACGTGGACTACGCGGTTATATCAGTGCCACGACTTGATCCCGAAACTGTCTTACTTCAAGAATTTTATGTAAGTTCACTTTTACCCAACAGATGTTTCATTTGATACCATAAAGTACATGCGTGCTACGAGTGTTATCACAAATTTAAATTTTTAATGCGCCATGTTCTGCTTTTGTAAACATGACTTATGTGTGTACGTAAGGCTAATTTCGTGGTTTATACTTTCATCTATTTTTTTAATTGGAAATGTGAAATATTTCATATTTAATTAAACAACCCTATTACACTTGTTTTCAATAGAAAACATTTTTAGTTTTAAAATTATGCTATTAAGGCTATCAAAAATGATGAGGTCAATGTAGTAGAAGTCACAGTCTCTAGCATGTTTTGCTTCAATGAAGTTGAGTTGAGACAAACATAACCTCCATTTCGTAACTTTACTATTTACGTCCGTATCATGGGCTGAAACGCGTGCCAAATGAGATTAATTTAGAATCAGAAAACAGAGTATGACTAAAGTGATTTGAATCACGTAATAATCAATGGGAGCAAAGGGTGTAATGCAACCACAGCCTTTTTCACTTGGGCGCTGATTTTGTAACTCACCGAAGGTTACGTTTGAACTTTCAGTTATTGCATGATTTGAACCATGCTGTGCTAAGATTTGGTGAAAATTATGGAATTTAATAAATTATTTCTAATCTTTTAGTTAGACTATGTGAAGCAGTTTGTACGTAAATGTCCGTTTTTTAATTTAGATATACAACTAATGCTGTAGTTCCGAAAACTCCTTTTTAATAATATTTCAAAATGCCATTTATTGGTAATTTTTTTGCGTAGAGAGCTAAACCTCGCCCGAATTCCTCAGTCACACAAGAACTATACGTTTACCACCGCGCAAACTTGGTCAAGTGGGTTAATTCTTTTAAATAGCGTTAATCTGACAGATGATACAGTCTTATTCCTTGCTTCTTCATGTTTGTAGTGATTTTCACGTTAGACCTGCCATAAGAATGGATCAACCGGAAATCCTGAACCTAACACGTCAAATGCACCCCTTCGATCGAACGCTTTTGACAAAAGACCTGAATAATTATATGAAATTCGGACGAGAGCCTGTAAGCAGGAAGTACTGAAGGTGTTTTAAATAACAGCCGATTACGTAACTACTTTGTGTGTTATAGGATGGAAACGAACTGATATGCTACGTGGCTATATGCTTAGGAAAAATCGTTGGTGTACTCATTGCCCGCGTGGAAGAGGTGAACTTTTACTTAGTAGTCGATTTATTTCTGGTACCTATATTTATTAAGTAAGATGTTTTAAATCACATTCAAGCACATTGACTGGCTGCGGGCGAACTACAATTTGGAAGACTACGTTTACTTTATGCAACACGGAAAACATGAGTTCGCGACTCTAATACACTTCCTTCTAACTTCAACAGTCCATTCCCGAACTCGACTTTTTTTGCGTGAAGTAATGAGGCAAGCAGAGAAAACATGTTTCTTCTACCTGATTTACCCACCTTTTGCAATGGATACAGTAAGCGTTCTCCTTTGTCTCATAAATATGGTATTTCTTTTTCGAAAATTGCCTCCCGGAATTAAAAGGTAGACCTACGCTCAGAGAAATGTCTTTTAGGAAAAATTATAGCAGCACACTTTTACTTTATCCAAATGAACAACACTAGTTAAAGTGTCTATTCCTCGATCTGAAAGGCGCCCAAACCTGGTTTAACCTCTCTATCGTTGAATATACCAAAAAAACCCCACAAAACACCGATTGGTTATGGTAACGTTTGTTAAGTCGAGTGGAGTCGAGTGTTCGCGTCCGTAAATTTATTAGGTCCTAGCACAGTTAAGGAACCCCTTAATGTGTGCTTACTGGGTCTGAAAACTTCGGAAATTATCGTGCAGGAAAAGTCGAGGACTTACCATCCCGTATTCCAGAAGTGATCGTCGTGTCAGCAAGGTTCGGTCGTAGGTCCGAGTCGTGGGAGAGGAACGCCCGTATTCCACTAACGCGTTTCGATCACTCCAAAATACAGTTGGAAAAGCTATGCTCCACAACCTACTTCCTCCCTAGCGTTTTTCTTCTTTACTGGCGTGTATGTTTGTGTGACTTCACCGATTACACCTCCGTACTTGCCCGAGTGCCTCAACTCTCGAAGTGAACGCTTTTATAACTTTCAAAGCACATCTCTGTGGTTACTTTCGCCTGTCCTAGAAAAAGTAGCCATGAATGTTTAATTTCTTAGAAATTTCTCCTCAGATGTGCGTAGAATAATTTCAACACGTACTTTTGAATTTTTATTATAGTAACTAAAGGGATGACTCGTTTTATTGGAACAAGATAGGTAATTCTAGCGAAATTTACATCATACAAACTTTATTCCAACATGTATGTGTGTGCTAACGTTTTGTTTAATTACCACTACATGTATTTACGCTGTTGCGCCTGTCAATTTTAGCGATTCAAGTTAAATACACTGGTTTCTTGCCTTGGCGACCTGTATGCGGTGAGGCCGCGTCGCCAAATTGTGTTCTCCCATGACGTGGTCAAGAGTGAAGTGGGTCCTCAAAGCCGAATTCTCCACTGCCCCCTCGACGACCCACCTCCAGCCCTCTACCACATCTCACGCAACCTGATCATGGAACCGAAGCTGGTGCTTAATGCACGGGTGGTCGTTGTCGGCGCCTCATCCACAAGCCTCGCCTTCCTCGAGCACATCATTTTTGCGTAAGCGCCTTCCAAATGCACTATTGAGCGTAAGGAAAGACAGACATTGAAGGCTTTCGGTTGGGCTAAATTGGCCTCTCGAATTCCATTTCCAATACTAACCATCTTCGATTACATTCAGGTTCAAGTTTTACGAGACATTGAATAAAAATGGGCCTAGCAAATGCTGCGTGTTAGCGATTGGGAAACAGGGAGGATGTCTGCCTTCGGGTGCGCAATGCATGACTATCAAAATAAAATGTCGGTAGGGAGGGACCAGTACATCCGATTTATCATTTTGGAATCAATTTCTGCCCGATCGGTAGTGTGTGTGTGTGAATGACGTGCTGATAAATGTCCTTTCTTTCTTGTCGTCTTTAGATCTCACATCAGGTTTAATAACCTCACTTTACTTACGCCACATGGAATTCCAGGTGACACGGAAGAATCGGAAAACCGCCGTGTCTCTCTTTTCTTCCCACCACAGTTAGTTTTTATTTTAAACTGCAATAATTCTTCCTACTTCATAGTGAAATTCAACTTACAAAATGTGACAATGCAAATAAACCCTCAAAATCAACCGTTTTTAGAACTGAATAGGCTGAGAGCTATTCCATTAGGTTACCTCCTCACACAATGTGTTTGTCTCAGTTTGGAACTTAAGGCCGTTTAAACTAAAATGAAGTCCAAAGATCTGTACAGCACTCCACCGTGAACCACCATGTTGGCGAAACCGGGAACAGTTCGCCATGGTGTATCGACTCCAAATATTGTAGAATTAGACTCGTTGATAGTGTCGTGATTTTTTAGCGGAGTCACAGCGGTAGTAGCTGAATGGAATGGCTTTTTTTCGAAGCTACCGCATGTCTTAGCTGGTCTATCGCCTCATTCGCCTTTCACTCAACGTAGCCAATTGACACTCCCACACACGCATGCCCAGCAAAGATTCTCCGTAACGGCGTTTCACCGTCCTCCGGGGTTGCGTGAATTCAGTAATTCGGTGACATCGAATTGATGTTTCTAGTTGTGGCTGTGCGAATATGGAATTCGTTCATTAGTATAGAGTCTGAGAAGTTGGGAAAAAACATTTTAGCATACGTAGGCTGAATTTTCATAGTTGTTTAATTCATTTTCAGCGTCCGATCAAATTGTAATTAAAATATCACTCTCACGTCTCATTATTTGTTAAACAGTGCTCCTAATTTCTATAAAAAGATCAGATAGCGCAGTCAGCTCCCTTCCCCACAGCCCAACCAGTGAACTTCTTTAAGACACTCGCTGTGTGACGCCAGCTTTAGGTCAAGTATCATGTGGATTTGGGAAATATGCCTTTTCAGAATTCACCCGGGCCTACAACCCATACTGGCAGTTAATCTATCTCAACCAAAGAATATGTTTTTTATCATCAATAACACGCTAGAATGCATTACGATATTGCTTTAGTTTGCTGCCGCCTTACAATAATTCCCTCTCCCCTCACGCAGCAGCAGCACTAATTCACTCACACCCATTGTCACAAACTGCTCTGTTTGTACAAGCATGGCTACTGCAACACTTTAAGTCTTTTAATGTTGGGCCTAGAAGAAATTGCGTCATATAAAGTCAAACGCTTTCATACGAGGTATCTGATTGTAACTTTTCTTGCAGTTACATGCAAGACCGGCGACGCCTAGGGCAAATAGCACTACGTACGTCAGCTAATGTTGTTTCGGGCACATTAACAGCCATCAACAGGTAAGAATTATCAGTTTTCGCTTAACTTGCTGCAGCTATTACACCTCCTTTAATCTTAAAGGAATCAGAAACTGATCACCATCGATGGTACCCATGAAATGTCATACGATCTTCTTGTTCTGGCACCTGGCACCCAGTACCATCCTCCAATGCCAACTCGTATTGATCCAAAAGTCATCGCAGAGCGACGTAGAAAACCCCCATGTGAAGTCAGTAAGTCTTCTAGTTCACATAGCACAACACAACATCAAGTATACCATGGTGATCTTTAAAATGTGAAATACACGAGAAGTGTAAAGCTATCATTGAGGTTCGGTCGAGTGGATATTGTCGGGTTGACTGTAAAAACGAATCTGTGGGGATCAGTCACGATATTTGCGGGTGTAGAAATGTGAAGGCAAAAGGAAACTCACCTGTCCAACGCACAGGCAAAGAGGTAGCAATATATTTGTTTTGATTTGTGATTTAATTAAGATTAAAGACCTCCCGTCATATATCGAAGAGCTTACTAAGCGAATTTTACTCCATTTTTCATTTTAAAGCTAATTTGCAAGTGCCTGTGAGAAGCGCTCCATGTACGCATAGTCGCCTGTTGCCTAAAGAATCCCAAAGTCAATTTGTGTAATGACCACCTAATGCATTCCCTCAAATAAACAGTAAGGGGATAGTAATGCGAAAAAACTAGTGGAATGTTTTCCTAAAGAAGGTCATGCGACTGTGATCAGAACACAGCTGTGGTTGGTTATCAGGATTCTGAAACTTTAATCAATAACTCAAGTGCTAGAAGTTGTTACCCAAACAAGGCGACGTTAGGAGCCAACAAATAATCTGTCTACACTATTCTTAATTTTGTTTTACTTTAGTTGGGATATCTACCAAGGATAGAGCTTCAAACCTCTTTCTCTTGAACGACGAATACACCACATTGGAGGCCATTCGATTCATTGAGAAGAACTTGATCACAGATAAGTCAGACCTGAAGAGACTGGAGCGGAAAGCGAGCCTTCAAACAGCGGCGCTTCTGGAGGATCCCTATGCAGAAGAGAAACCCCACTCGAATCCTGTGGAGGGACCCATCATAGTCTTTGGTGACTGTGTGAATGCCTACTCCTGTGTTTACGGCTTACTCAACATGGGTGTTCCTGGCGTCCGTATAGTCATGATGCATCCGTGCAGGAAACCTGATGTAGGTTTTGGGTAAATTGAAGGCTTCTAAGGCTTTAATTCGATGTAGAATGATAAGTCAAAACCGAACACCAAGGGTCGTAAATGCATTATTTAAAAATTTCAGTAATGTAGAAATCAATTTAGACGGTGGAGGCACTAAGTATTTGTCTATATTAAAACTGAACAGTCCACGTGTCACTCAACAGAAAACTAACTTCAAGTCAACCACCGGACACAAAGTGGATCCGCAAGGGTTGAAGTTAGCCTTCATTGATCTTTAAGTATACACCAATAATATGTAAAGTTAGTATAAAGTTTTTGACCGCCGCCGCCACTCTCAGCGCAGACCATGTGGCTGGCAGTAAAGATTAGACTGACAGATAATGAAAGGGTGGAGGACGAACACAAGGCCAATAATATGGCAAAAGTGGCAGTTAGGTCACATTTATCATTCACTAAGTAAACCTTTCAACTTTAATTATACGCTATAACTCTAAACGCAAATTGATGAATTAAGAGGATCAGAAAGATTAAAGGACCAGTTTTACCTTCTTTATTACTGACAGGGAAAAGGCGATCTGAGTCATCTGTCGCATTGTTGTTTTTGGGAGCATGAAAGCAGTTATCGGTGGTCTTAATTTATGATGAATTCCCAATTTGTAAGGGAATTCGTTTGCTCAAAACGAGAATCTACAGTGCCAACCTGATTTCTGTATGATTCGTAGAACCCCAACCTCTCCGCTTTACACGACTACGTCTCACTGCAGACGCAACCAACCCAGAAAACGGTATCTTTGCATTCGGTGTTATTCCTGACAAATCATTCATTTCAGGACACTTTTGACAAGAGCAATTCCTCTTTGTGATGGCAATTTCAGTCTCTTTTTGGGGGTTTTGGTGATCTTTGACCTTGAAACAAGATGTACACAAACAATTCATAAAAGTTTTACGCTGAAAATGAACACAGCGTTGAATTCCAGGTGCAAATCGACTCCCATTTGTGGATTTTTCTCATCAACTACTTGGCGCACGCTATCGATGCACATGATCTAGCAACACAAAAGAGTATGCACAATTTGGTTTAGCGTGAGAATATGTCTCTTGCCTCCGGATGCCTTAATTACCTCATGAAATTAGACAGGTAGTCATCAGAATATCTTACCTTTGATGCAGATTTGGATCTTTCACCTACAAATGGACTCCGTTAACTAACTTTTATTTTTTAGCAACTTAGAAATGATCTGTCCTGAGATCAACAAAATATTAAGCAAATCAGTCCCTTGGTTTATTTGCACAGGCGATTTTGTAACTTAGGGAAATCCTAAGGTGTTGAAGATGATTCCCAATTGAGTCATTTAGGTTGACCTCACCTGGCTCGTCAGAAGGTCTGATTCGAATTACTGCCATTTTTTATTTTAATAATAAAAGTAACACTGCGCCCATTCTGTAGTTGCTCGAAAGTGGAAAACGCTTTTCCCCCTGTGATTTTAACCCCTGAGTCAAGTCTCAGTAATGTACAAAATCTGAGTGACAACTAACCGCACAAAGCGCATTCAGCTTGACTAATCAAATCCAGCGACCGATAAACAGGAGGCACGCCTAGCTCATCACTACACACATTAGATGCTTGACCGAACGCCTATTATGCTTTGCTATTTAAGGAGACAGAAATTGAGGAAAACCCTTCAACGGACACTAAGCCACAGTGCCACTCACTGCTCTCCGTTTTTGATGACTACACGGTTGAGAGCGCAGTTCACGAAGAAATGCAGAAGGCCGGAGTTCGCATACTCAGAAAATGTGTCCTGGTGCATTGGAACAACGATCCTAACGCCCTCAGCGTTGATGAAATCAAAAGTGGTGTTTTCATTGCTGAGGGACGCGAAGTGCGCATCCGATGTGTCGTAGGTAGCCATTTGATTACCGTTTTTAAAAAAATGTTCGAAAGCACGGATATTTTGGGGATTTGACGCGGTCACATGTCATATACCAAGTTAAGATAATTATTACATTTAATTTACCTTCAGCATCCAGAAGTGTGAAAAAGTTAGTGGGTTGTTGAGAGGTCCACACAATCCAATTCCATTAATTCCTCAATTTTTTAACCATTCGGTAGCGAAGTCTCACACACTCATTTCCTTTTACATGCTGCTTCCAGAACTGTAGATTTCAAAAATATACCAAAACCCCTACACTAATTATGTGCAGGGGTTTAAAATGAGACAGTGTTTCTTTCGAGGTTAGGCTCTTAAATTACTCTCCAGTTGTCTCCACTTGTCTCCTCGTACAGTAATTATCCCAGGCAAAGTTGCATCTCAAGTAAGTGCATTTGTTACCGATTACGCTGTTGGCCCTGAAGCATATTTGTGGCTTTTATTTTCCTGGCCCCGGGACGTCAAGGTCACAACTCGAGGATGTTAACGGTTTAAGCCATCGGTCTAAATCTGCCAGAGCGTATTTTACGATTCTTATTACAGATTTCAGTCTATTATGCCAAGCTCAGCTAATATGGCACCAGATTCTCACCTCAAATCGCACTAATTCATTTAAATAAAACACTACAGAGTTCAAGAATCCAATGTCTAAAATTAAGAAAAATGCATCTAAAAACTAAATGGATCTACCTTCACAGAATTATTTCTCAAAAGAAGAAATTTCATAGGCCTTATAACTGGAAAGCGTGTCACGAGGAACGCACCGAGTAACGTCGATCCTGCTTTAACCATAGCTGGGTCCGCGTAAAATTACGTAAAGATCCAATTCGTGTGATTTTTTGTCCATTTAATAAGACTATTTTTAAATGCATCCATTTTATTTGTAGGCATTTTTCTCGTTCGCTGAAAAGAAAGTTGATCGTGCGTTCTTCAAAGGTAAAAATGACTTGTTTTTTGAACTAAAATATGGGTCAGATTAAATAGGTCTTGATTCAGTTCGAAGAAAATTAAGGTTTAAAATAAAAATTCCTGCTGAACTGATCCCCTATATCGGTATATTTGATTATTTCAAACCTAAATTAGAATATACCAACACTTTAGATTTAGCATTAGGACTTTAACAGATCACCTATTTTTATGACTTCTAAACGATGTCTTTTGAAAATTGATGAAGGTTCCATGCCTATAAGTCCAGGAACTAGCCAAGCCGCTAGCATCTCGACTAGCTAACTGCACCAAAGACCTCTGCGGTTTGCCTACATCATAGTCTTGTACCATGACTTTTGTCTAGCGTATGAAACACAAGGGCGTCAGTTTGGGAAGTTTATCCTCCTTCTAGAGTTGGGGCTTAAAACAAATCGAGCTTGTTGCCAAATTGGGAATATGAAAGTGGAAGTGGCAGGCTTTCATATTTCTTAAGGACAAATTATGTGAACAAAATGGAACCTGGAACTCAGTTTCATAAAAAAAAATTCACTGATAGTGATGCTACTTTCAACAAACACTGCATACATGGAAGAGAACCGATAAATTCTTGACTTCTTAAACCTTAGTGTTATTTCCTTATTGGACTTGCGCTTTTTATTCAGTTTATTAGTTATGGTGTCTGGCAGAATAGAGGTTTAAAAAATTCCTAAGTGCACTTAATGGGTTTCGCCTGTTAACGTTAAAAGTACACTCAACGTGAATGCTTAACACAGCGACAGCGCGCTTGTCTGTTCCACGCATGCACTTTGTCAAATTTACAACTGGAACGCGCTCCTAACCAGTTATTTCTGTTTTAAGAGCCACGTTGCGATGCTCTGTTGGCCCCTATTGTGAAGTCTATCACGTAATTTGGTCGATAGTCACCTGCTCTCCCTTAATCTGGCGCTTGAGTTCTATTAACAGTGAAGATTGTAGGTTGACCACGGAAAGAGCAAGCACCTGAAAAGGTTGCTTAAACATTTGAATGGCAGAGGACTTGTGAACCAACACGACTATAAGCATTTTACCACTTGAACGGGACCCGTCTAACGGCTTTATTGTCCATGTCTTCGAACGTGAGACCAAGAAACTTAATCTTGACCCACTAACTTCAACGAGCTTTTGAATTTGCGTTGGAATTTCGCACACAAATAAAAACTCGATGATGTTAGTATTTGTATCTTAATAAACGAATGCGTAATCAGGACGTTAAAGTGTTTAATAAGCATTTATGCAAAATAAGTTTCAGTCTAACATATTAGAATAGCATCCCATTTCAACCCCTAAAACCTAACTAATTTAATTTTTTCCCATCTTGAAATTCATTTAGCCGTCAACGACGCTTGCCTGGTATTCGATAAACAGTTGGTAATTGACACAAATTTCCACACCAGTGATCCTTCTATTCGAGCAGCCGGACCTGCAACAAAGTACCGACGAATTTACTATAACGACAAATACACACATGCTCTCTGCAACAGTCTGGAAGTTGGTGAAAGGGTAGGTCATACGTGCACAACTACCAATCGAAACATGAGGTTCCTTGAATGACTCAATTTGGCTGCTTTTAAGACGCTGTGCTGACAACACTGCCAGGTGCAGGCACCCAACTATCAAATCGTGAACGTCCACGAGGAAAGTCATTCAGAGTTAGGTGCATTAATGCGTTGTAGACCATATCAATGAACCTATTTTCAGTGAAACGCTTTTAATATTTTCTATGCCCTTTTATACTCGAATGCAGGGTACTCGAACGGGGTCTTTGATTTCTAAATTCAATGCAAATTTGTACAACAATATCGGTAAAAAATGCTCTGATTACCTACTACGAAAATTTCTGAAAGTGACACGAGTGTGTAGCCTTCGTCGTCGTTGAAAGCAGCGAAGTAAACGCCCACGGGCCAGTCTGAGTGACGTTTAACGAGGCAATCTTGACTGGGAGCTGAGGGTATCACCGTGTTGCTCTTCTTGATGACCGGACGACCAGAACTACCAACAGTAGCCTCAAAGCCTCCTCTAGGCGAAGCATAGCTCTGCGGCTTGCAGATGTAGTGCAACTAGAACTCTTCGCCACTTTCTAAGAAGCAGATATCAGCGCCTACAAAAAGTCCACATGAAATGTTGCTCAATAACATATCCCCAAAGCCGACTACCAAACGCTTCACGCTTAGCGGTGGGGTAGATTCGAAACGATGCGACTCCTTAGATTCCATTTTTTGTAGACAGACATTCCACAAACTCCATGAGATGGAGAAATGTCGCGATTTAGTATTTGGAGGAAGAACATTTATCTGAGTCTGTATGAGTAACGTGAGTGCAAGCCAGTATGTGATAAGAGTCACATTCCAAGTTAAATGTGGGAATGACTCATAGATTAGAACCATGTGACTTCCATGAGCCATGTGGTGAGAGCTTGTAAGTTGAGTCACAAAGGATTCATATTTAAAATATGCTTAGTCAAAAGTTTCCCCACTAGATGACTTTTGCAGTGGCCTTGGACCTCTACTCGATCCTGTATTACAAATTAGGGGTACAATCGGACGATAGAGCCAGTAGCCGCTTCTCCCATTGAGCCAGGTAGTGAACAGTTGATTTACCGTTGGATGACTTATGAGTGCATTGAAAATGGGCTCAATGTGTTAAAGCATGTGTTACAGAAGGCAGACTGTGTTTATCTTCTCACTGATGCCATCTGGTCAATGGTTCAGATCCAAAAACATCGCATTAGAAAGTGCTTTCGCATACCCCTTCAGGAAAGCTTCAAGGAAAACAAAAATTCATACTAAAAAAGCTCGATACCTCAGTAAATTAATTGGAACTCACTAACAAAACGCTAAGCAGGTTGATAGAGTGCATTAAACGGTTGGTTAGCGATTTGTAGTGGCTTGTTAAACATTAATTATTTATCTGATTCCGGATCGGTGGAGTATTAGGATCTCGGATCAATGTACTTGACCGTTCAGGGCCCTTAGTGTAGCTTCTGTCATACTCGATCAGTTAGTGATGGAATGAATTCTGAACGTTGAACTTTCTATTCAGCGGATGTCTAGCCAAGCTTACAGCAAAAACTTCGCTCATATATGATGAATCAGCATAGCAAAGACAAGCTTCACACTATACTTTTCCTGTTCCAAGTTTCACCAACAGCGGAACGAGTATCTGATTACATTTGGGCTCTCAGAGCCAAAATGATGCCTTCACTTTGCTTCTGACAAATCAGCGTTCAACCAATTAACGCTGCGTCTTTTTTTCCAGTTAGCAAAGGCCTTTTTGACCGAGTTTGACCCAAATTCCAAGTTGCCCACCGCTCCGACCAGAGATGAGCATTACTTTCTGCCGGTGTTTAAGATGCCCCGCGTTGTGCAAGCCGTGCTGCCCGGAGGTTACAATTACCTCAAGGTCTGGAAACCTGGTTACAAGAAGAACGTCCTCCTTCGAGGGTCCACTGCAAATTTCGTAAGTTCATAGTTCCCTGGAGTTCACGACTAGCTGTCCTCGAATCTATAACTGTTGCCTAACCGATTGATTAAATGCAAGCGAATCAGTTCGTGCCTATGCCTAAAAGTTAACTGAAACGTAACAATGCTTCCTAAATTATTCAAATGATTTCAGTTTGCAGTGCAATGACTACGACCTGTTTGTTTACAGACCTCTAAAAGGACGCATACCAATGGGAAGTTCTGTGGTTATGAGAATTTGTTTGCAATCCTTGGCTAAATATTATATTTTAGGGGCGGATTCTGATTACTGGAGTCCCAAATTTGGGACCGGGTTATTTTTATATGCATTTGGATGAAGTCAATCGAATCTCTCGTATTGTTTGCCTTTCAAAGCAGGTAACAGTTAATTATCGAGTTTGTCGCCGGTACATTTACAATTGTCTTCGTTATGCGCACAATTTTTTTGTGAAGTAGACTTTCCCCGTGTCGAATTATGTGAGCCTGTACTCAACGCACGAAAAAGCAGTCAATGATCTGGTGTCACGGTACGACGACGGTCTCATCGAAGATTTCTACTCGTAAGTTCCTTTGCATCTTTACTAAATTCCTCCTTCCAACTAGTTTATGTAGAACCTGTCATCAATACGATAACCCATCGTAATGTGCAGGGCCTGGATGTTGTCGTAGAGGAAACCTCTGCAATACAGCCACGCTTGCATTTTGTCTGGCCTATCTTAAATCCCGCAAATCAGGTTGTTGTAAATGTTTTCGCTGCATCTAGAAAGCGGACGTGGATGATTTCCCCAGGGCCCCACAATCCACAATTCAGCCTTGATTTTTCGGTGAATTCGGTTTGCATCTGTTCTATGTTGATTTTTGCTCTCTAGATAGGAAATGCACTTTTTTCCACAATCCGACAAAAAACATCCAAAATCACCTATTTTAATTTTCGACAGACTCGTCAGAACAGTAGTAACAAGCCTATTCAAGCCTAACATTGCCATGTGAATAGCAAAGTAGAATCATGCAATGTACTTACTTTTCTACAAGTAGCATTACTCGTGATTTATAATTTTTATCGCTTGTTCAATCTCTCTACCACCTTGAAAAAGTTCGCTTAAATCGTAAACAACTACCCTCGATTGAATAATCATGAAAATTGTGCAATGCCGTTGAAATGTTTTTCCGTAACTCAATTGCAAGGATTTTATTTCCGCTCTAATTTCTGAAATGGCCCACCAAATGAGACAAAAAAGTGGTTACAATAGATTTCTGTGGAAACGCCCATGAAGAATGAAATCTAAGCAGTTATATATTTCATTTTTGTACAACCAAGCTTCGCAATCGTCCTAGCAACTTCGCAGAAATTTTTTCCACATCGAATCAAACTTGAAGTGCCGTTCTGAGTCATCATCAGTGACTGTTTGGCCATTCTGAGTTTTGCAAATTTCGAAATAAGTGATAATCCGATAGCGCAGGATCAGGGCTATTTGGGAACGCTATATCACATCAAATTATTTCTTCTAAGATATCCAGAGTGTGGGAGCTGAATTTCCTTTCAAGTTGTTGAATTGAATTGGTTTTCCTTGATTGCCTTCTAATCCTGTTCCCTAAGGTATTGCCAGGAGACATTCGAATTGAAGGTTTGTTTCCTCGAAAACAATTTACAGTGCTAAAGCCTTTATAATCCCCCGAATCGAGAGCAGACGTTTTTAAATTTAATTTGTCTTTCAGTGTGGTTTTTATTAGTTCATCACGCCTGGCGCATCATCGTTTTCGATTCCTGTTATGGTAGACGGTCATATTTTACCAGCGATAAAGCATTTCAAAACTGAACCAATTCAATGGGTTTGAGATGTATGTTGCATTTATTGATTTACTGAGTAAGGTGAATACCTTTGAAGTCGTGCGGAACCTAAATATCGAGCGTCTTAACAAGTCAAGGACATTTTCACTGTGTATCACATTTGATGTACGTGATACATTTAACAACCTCTCTTTAATCGCTCACACGGTTAAATAACAATCCCTTTAAATTACACAATCAACGCAAAATTTTGTTAGTCAACCAAAACTTGGCTCATCATTGAGTAGAAAATCAGCAGAACGAAATTTTGTGAGCCGATCCTGGCACCATAAACTGCAGGTATCTGTTTATGAGCCTCAGCAGCATTTTTTCCTTTAAGAATATGAAAACCAGCCCCAAAACAGACAGCTCAAAATGAAAAGGAACAGGATCCTTTTAAGGCAGGCTAATTGACGTGTAGCAAATATAAAAAGAGAAAAATCAGAGCTAAAAACATAGTTCCACTTATGGGAACCCAAGTTTTATCGTTGTGAATATATTTAAACCTTTGTAACCGTGAGTGACCTCTTGCGTGACAAATGTGGTGGCACTAATCAGAACTTAAAAACTTATCCATGTGCGTAAAGGCTGATTAGTCGTGCTATGTCGGGTACTTACAGGGTTGTTGCTCAAAAGTGGAGCGCATTTCTGGCATCTACCAGAATCTCAGTTGTTCCGTTTTAGATTCTTCGGGGAACCATGGGCTATGGCTCTATTCCACGATCGTTTTGAAGAACTGAAGCAAGAAATTCACGACCTCGGCTGCAAACCCAAGGTAAGATGACGCCTACGTGCTCTCGGTAGACGCCACGTGCCACGTCTAATTGCGTTTTACCTGTCTAGGACGCAGGAGCTGAGCCTCTTATTGAAAGCATTCGCATGCGCCAAGCTCTCACAGATAAGGTGAGTGCAATTAAAAAGTCGCAAGACCCATCATTGCCCATTCAGCTTTCTTAAGTGCCTCAAAAATGTCAAAAAACGGGACACAGCAACCGATAATGGTAGATGCAACGTCGAGATTAATTGTCAGTTTAAGATTTTAGTTCTAAGGATTTCCAGTAAAAATATTTTTTATATATGTCGTAATCAATTCCGGTTAACGAGACCTCATACAACTGGAGAGGCCTCAGCACAAGATATTTCATCCCATCTCCGTCACACAATCACCTATGGAATATAGCTGAAGTCCTTTGACAAGATTCACCCAGGTTTAAAAACCACTCCTTAAAAGGTTTGAAGTATTCAAGTTAACTACTAAACTCTAGCCTTCAAAAGTAGGTCAAGTACCTTCTTGCAAAAGGTATCACCAAAAATGAGGTTCTTGAAAGGTCCAAACACTAATCCAATTTGGGAGGTTGCTGATTGATAATAACTGGAACCTTTTAACTTTGTGCTGTCTTAATACAGATTTCAGAGGAAACATACAAGATAATTCGCTACGAACATCTCTCAATGGGTCTCAAATATGAAACGGAAAAAAGAATCATCAATTTCATCGAGAACAACTACGATCTTCTGCCAATGTACGCAAAGCCGGACATGGTTAGACAAGTTAATCGATAAAGTTTAAAGGGACAGCATTCAATTCCTAAGAAAAGAGTACTGTCGAATTGTCCAGTTGCATGTTAATGCCAATACACCTTTTTGGCCATATTCTAACCTTTAAATAATTAGATGTCCACAACCGCTTTAAGACCAAACGAGGGCTCGGTAATTAAGCGTACATAGCATTTAAAGGAATTAAGGGCAAATTTAACCCCACAAGTCCTGTTATTCGCGGACAATTCACCGGCAAGACCAATCGAACGCACACAAAAAGGCGGAAAACGGTTGCTGGTGCAGTAAAATCAATCTATTTTGAAGTATTTATCCAGAGGACCACTCCTGGATGTGCCCCTGGAGGGAGTTGAGTTGCGATGTAAACTTGAGGGTCGCTTTGTTCCTGTGCATGACGGTGAAGTTAGTGTTTCTTGCACCGCCTTCAGCACAGTTGGACGACTCAAACAACTGTCCAAATGGTCATTCATCTGTAATGTTAAAACAAAATTGGATAAAAAATTAGCACAACGTGTTTCTTAACATAAGTAACATTGGCATACAGCATAATGTTGCATCGAAATGCCAGCGAGAGGACGTTTGGTGGGCTACTACTTGCACTAATTTAATTCAGAATCACATTGCAGTGCGGTATACTGCTACTGTGTTTAGTCGATAAAAAAACCACTGCCATGTTAGCTGAGCGATAAGTGGTTCGTTGTGCGATTGGTCCTGAGAAATAATTCAAACATGAACACACTTCCCATTGGCTGCTCGGGATTGGACGATTTGCACGGAAATTTACTTGAAAATCACCTCATCGAGATCATTTAGACGCAATTGCTTAGAGCAAACCGGGCAAGTTGCGACAGTGGATCCTCCAGTGCATGAGACGACGCCTGGCAAAGTTGACGGCCCCGAAGCAGCCTCGGTGAGGACTGTTGACCTCGTTCCACCCCCTCTGGCATTTTCCCGCGTTGTCTAGGGGTGCAAATTTGAGACGAGTCGTGACCAACAAAACGTTTTATTACAATGACAATTTCATGTCCAAGGAAAAAACAGCTAGTCTCAACAGTCTACGTGAGTAGTCTCAAAATCGGTCTTCCAAAGGGTCACAAATGAAAGCACATTTAACAGTCCAATATCAGCGCTCGAAATGCTTCTTTCGTCGCTTATGGAAGTCCTGTGCTTTTACCAGAGGCTACAAAATCTAGATGTAATGCTACAGAAAACTCAATTCCTAATAGGGAAAATATGTGTTAAGGAAGCGCTTTAATTACAGCACAGCCCAAATCAAAATATGTGCTATAAAAGCAGTCCACAAATTCGAACTAATTTTAACCAAATTAAATAGCAAGTTTCCAAACGACTTATAAGTTTATGAAGATTTCAGCTGCAGCGAAGGCGGTCAATGGGATCAATTGACACTTGACCTCAGAGTACACGTGAGGCTGAGTGCACATTGGCCTGATGGAGCCGGTTTTGAGTGTGGACTATGAAGTATTCCAGCAGGTGTTGGAATACGAGAGCATTCGCGTAGAGATAAGAAGGTGCACGTGTGTGCCACGTCCCGTCTATTGCAAACAGCATGCTCCAACAATCATTCCCAATTCTTATCGGATCGGGAGCAGTTGGTGGGCTCTGCATAAAAATGGTGCCTGACGTTCTTGGGATATCACCCGGTCATTTGCTACCTCCAACTTCGATTTATCGGACCGTATGACTGCACTCAAATAACGCTGTCCCACCTAACACACCTGTCTCTCCCCACAACATAAACTTCTTAGAGTGCTCAAGTCTACTTGTCTGACCCAAAACGCGCCTTCTGCCAATGGCTAGTTTAATGTCGTGAAGCATCACATCGTTGGCAACAAGAACACAACGTCACAGTGGCAAATGACGATCACAAGAGTTCGAGTGGAAAGATTACTCTTCAGCCTTCACTGACTCGGCAAATGCAGCTTCCCAAACAAGTGTTCCTGTTTTGAGCCTGGTTTATTTCGTGATCCTGCAACTCAGTGACTACATTAGTTCGAGACTGTCCTTGTTCTGTACTGTGCTCCACGGAAAGTCGTCAGCTGGAATCGCGTATTGAAACTGTCTTGTTGGGGCATTATGATTGGCGTTTGTCGAAAGCGATTCATCATACTGTTAGGTCTCAATGAATCTACGAAACAGATTTCACAGTAATGGCTAAAGGGTTCACAATCCGCGCTGTTGAAGCGTCCACTCTGAATAGGGGCGCTGATTGGTTTATTGTCGTGTGCCAGCCTTGTTGACAACATTTATCAACCGCAATGCCGATTTCAGACAATATGCCATTTTTGCATTGACGAGACAATTCTTTATTCCAACTGGGTGTCAGCTACTCGCATGTACTTCGGTCAAGGCATTTCAGTGTTTTACACGTCGCTCTAATATTGGCAAATGCAAATCAAATGTTGGAAGAGTAAAGCCACAGACACTACGTTGAGCGACCGCTTTCCGTGTACACTCCACACAGTCAAAGCTTTCATGAAGCGTTCATGCAATTAGAGGTTCTGGGTGTGTCGGTTTCCGAAAAAAGGGGGCACAGAAGGCTGCGTGACTCCTGTGGACTAAAACACGCCAAGCACGAATGTCGACGATGACCACCTTAGGATGCTTGTTTGCAACCAGTGTCGTCACGAGACAAGGACGTGTAGTGCGGCCGACAACACTGGCCGTCCAATTCCCAACATGCTTTCCCACCGGAGAACGTGAGCAGAAGGCCGTGGGAAAGGCACAACGCCCAGTGCGAATCACTTCCTGAGGTGCTGATCGTTGGACACATGACTTCGTTTTAATTGGCGCCTTGTTTTAATTCGTTTTCTAGGTGTACCGCTAAAGTCTCCATTGATACTTCTCACGCAAAACTCAACTATCGAGGCACATTCTACTTCAGGTCGTCGGAAATAAAATGATCTCCTCTTAGGCAACAATGTTTCGACCTGCTGGGAATTTACGCCACATTACTGAACTGATTCTATTAGTGCAAATCCATCTACCTGTGCAGACGTACTCTCTTGTGACAAGCGTACATAAAAAATTCGCCATCTTGAGGCCTGTAAAATAATACTATTAAGGTTGACAAGGTGAGTCGCGACGTGGGAAACGCTTATCGCTTGTGGCAGTTGACAGACACTACCTCTCAGAACTTAATCAGGAATGGGATGAAGGAAGTACATTCAATGTTACAAAGGGTTGTTTGAGGACCGGAAGCACTGTCGTGCCTCTTCAGTACCATGATAATGAATGAAGAGCTTGCCTACTGCCACAGATGTGCTCGGGCGATAATACGCTCTCTCCTGGTCTTGTTAATAATTGGAAGGCTGCAGAAAGCACTCAGTTCAGTTTACAGACATATCATCTTCGGAGGCCGTTTGTAGTTTTCTGAGTTACAGGCGAGCACCGTGAACACTTGGGGGCGACCACAACTCACAAACTCGAGGTCCGAATACCCTGTGGTGTAAGTGGAGTTCTACACTTACATATGTGTTTCTTCTAAGCGAATGTGCTGCTCACCATTACGCCCACACACGCACCCAAACCTACAGATTTGTGTCGGATTTTTGGCATCTTCTGGGACTCGTGTTTGTTCAAGAAATCAGTGTTTCTACTAACTACTTTTACAACAGACACCACATCTGACACTCAAAATGTGTTCTGGGGCAGTCAACTTTACTCTTTTCGTGCAATCGGATTTTTAATGCAAAACCAAATATTGTTGTGGAACCTGGTGGTGTGCACTGCAATACCGAACGACCTGTCAACTCACATCCGTGGACAAGTGAGACCGGTTGCGAATTTGGGTGTCTTGGCCTCTGAATCCGCGGTCGAAGGCGGCTTCTAGCGTGCCTTGATGAAAGTGCTGACACATCGCGGAGGGAACGAGATTTGACATTCGAACTCCTACAAGACCAGGGTAGTGACTGCTTGATTCAGTGTATTGCAGCCTGATGACACGAAGCAAATCCATGCGTGTAGTTAAGGGCAAGAGGATACAAGAATATAACATGTGAAGTCGGTGTTCTGCAAATGCTTAGATGGCTGACGAGGTGATCTTGGCGAAAACAACCTACACACGCGCCAGTCACGCTGTACATCAAGTTTGTGCTTTTTCGAAAACTCCGCATAAGCATTCAAGCAACAGTAGAATGTGATACTTTTAGAAGGTACCTTGGGTGTAGAGATGGTGAGGTAATTTGACTGCCTACGGAATTGCTTTCGGCTAGACGACAGTCTGTCTTTGGAGAGTGATCCGGCGAACCCACGATGAATCAACAACCCTAACTGAGGAATGGCGCGTCACCGAGGCCTGGTTTAAAATGGACCCAGTACCCGCTGGGTGGGCACGTCGGTCAACTGGCAAAAGTGCACGAAGGAATTGCTAACGGTCAATGTCTCACAAGCCCGCCCTTTTCTCATGCGCACAAAGTCACGGGGCAGCAGATCTCTCTTCGCCATCAACTAGGTCAGTCACACAAGCTCCGACTCACGGCGCTGCTGCCAAGAGGTCTTAATGTTTCGAGGCGCTTATCTCCAAGCCGATTTATGACCCCTGCTTTGTCTTGGCATTACCTCACACTGACACCTTATGCCAACAGTGGTCACGTTTAAGCAATGCAGTGAGCGTCACCAGTCCTCACTTGTGTACCCGTACCAAGGCAATGGGCCACGTAAATCGCCAAGCCTGGGCC